CATTCACACTCGGTACAGTTTACTAAAGACAACGAGGTTTTCATATGGATCCAGAGCATCCTTCATGCCAGGAACCAAGTGCCCTAGATGCTAAGACGGACGTCAGGTATGTTTTACGATGCTAGGAGGTAGATGAGCATGGAACGTGAAATTACCGCCATGATGAGTCCCATCCGAGGAGCAGGGTGTCGGAGACACATCCAAGGGAAATGTCACTAGTGTGACGTTTAGAAGTAACTTTACAACGAGATCTGAGACAGAAATGGACACTGGGAGGCAACTCGGAAGGGTGTGTCTGGGGCAGTCAGGCTGTGGCATGGCGGCCCAAGGAGGAGGGGCAGGTGCTGGACAGAAACAGCAAGGTCTTCAGTGAGTGGATCCTGCCCGCCATGCGGGTCACACCAGAGTGAGACGGAACCTGCAGGGAGACCGGCTGCAGGGCCTCGAGCAGGAAGCTGACTTGAACCAGCGTCCGTCTTGCAAAGATCACCTGGCTGCTGGACAGACAGGGAAGACAGGAGCGAGACGCGAGGCCAGTGAGGAGCTGCTGCAGCTTCCTCAGGGGAGGCCGTGCTGGTCAAGGCAGGGGCGGGGGGCACTGGGGACGCCTGGGTCCGGGTCCCGGCTCCATTCCTGCTGCGCTGCACTCTGGGAGGAAGAAGATGCTGGCCCACTACTTGAGTCCCTGCCACCCATGTGGGAGAGACCCCAGACTGAGGTCCTAGTTACTGGCTTCAGCCTGACCCACCTCTAGTTGTTGCACTGTTGCTGGCATTTAGGAGTGTGCTAGCAAAAGGAAGAAATCTCCCTCCCTCCTTCCCTCCCCCCATCTCCCCGCCCCTCCCATCTTGTCCTTCCAATAATATAAATGGATAAGTAAATAAAGGCGGCAGAGCCAGCAAGAGGCAGCGGCCCTATCAGAAGGGGCCAGCTGATAGGGAGGGTGAGGACAAAGGAGAGACCAGGGCGGCTCCCAGGTGTGGACTCTGAGGGGGTGGCTGTGGCCCGAGTTTCTGATCAGTGGATGTGGCATGGCGTGGTGGTTTGTCAGCTCATCCGGGAGGTGCCGGCAGCCATGCTGTAGCCTGTTGACAAAGCCGTGCAGGAGCCGGCAGAAACAGCCAAGTGGGGAAACATCTTTGAGGTGCAGGGTGCTGGGCCCAGGCAAGTGGGAAGACAGGAGGCCAGGCCAGGGTGCAGGGCCAGCGGGGAACTGGAGGGCCCGCGGGGACGCCACCACTCAGGAAGATGCGTCTTCACAGAGAACCAGATGTCGTTCTCGGAGAGCGAACGCTGTGGGCAGAGCCCCTGCTGCTGTGCCCAGGGGTGTGGCGAGGCCAGCAGGACCAGACCGGGTGCAGAAATCACAGGGATCGAGGGCGCGTGCGGTCGGATGATTTTCCTCCCGCAAAGACGACGTGCGGGAGGCTTTGCCGTGGGCACATCCTGAGTGTGTGGGGTGTACCCTTCAGGCCCCCCATTTCTGAAAGCACGAATCCCCAGAGGCTACCTTCGTCTGGGGTGGGACGGGCACGTTAAAAGGCGGGCGTTTTCTCCCATTTGCAGCCCGTGTGTGGTGACTGCAGTGCCAGACCCAAGCAAAGCGTGCTCTGCAGCCCGTGCGCTTTGATTTTTCTGCTTCTCTGGGATGCGTCAGGCCCCAGGCGGACCTTGTCTGACGTTCTTCTCCCAAGGACCAGGTGTTGGATGACACTGGGAGGGAACAGGGCCCAGTAATGGAGTGCCTCCCATCTCTGCTTCAACTTTCTGATCTTGCTCTATGCTCGCAACCAGCTCTGTGCCTGTGGACTTGTCCCTGAGTGACAGGACTCACTCTCCCAAGGCTGCGGTGGCTGATTCCATCAGCTGCCCAGAGCCCGTGCACTCTGGGAAGGCAGTGGGACCCTGGACAGTCTAGTTGGGATGCCGGTGATACGTGTGTTCGTCGGGGTTTGGTGAAATGGCACCAAGTTGTTCTGCAGTGTTGAGACTTCCTTCGCAAGCCAGCTTGGCGATGTTGAGTGCTCGGAGGACATCAGAAGGAGGGGGCTATGCTTAGCAGTAGAGAACGCACAGCAGCTCTCGGGACTCAGCACTCAGATGTGAGTGGCTCCCTAGCCCATGGCCTCTGCTGTTGAGAGCGAGCAGCTGTGTGCTAGGGCTGGCGTGCTGGTGTGGGCCTGGGCGAAGCTGTGACCCCTGCTCTCTGTGAGTCCAGGAGCGGCTTCCTGGCTGGCGGGACTTACTACTTGTCTTTCTCAGTCATCTTTTCCCCCTGTGTTATTTTAATTGTACATAGTTAGGTGCTACACTGTGGCAATGCAGCACATGCATCCTTTGTGTGGCGGTCAAAATCAGGTTAGTTAACTTTCAAAAATGGTTACGGGGATGGAAATGCTAACAGTAGTTATACCGTTGGGGAGGTGCATGGTGGTGTTTCAGTAAGTGTGTGCAGTGTGGAAGATCAAACCCAGGTACTTCACACTTCTGTCACCGTTGTCAGTACTTCGGGTTTGGAACTACTGGTGCCTCTCTCGTATTTATTTACAAAACACGTAACAGGGTATGGTAAAGTACAGACTCAACACAGTGCTGTAGAGCATCCCATAGTCAAAGACTGAAGGGAAGAAGTAGGGGCACAGACGTGGACACCAGGGTACCACGGTTAAGCCCCCCAGCAAGTTGGGAAGCCCAGAGTGACAGCCGACCTCATTCAGCACTGCCGTGTTGAGAATGCTCTGTGTCTGTGCTGTCCACTGAGGAAGCCACTAGCCAAAAAATGTGGTCACTGAGCACTGTGGATGGCTTGCTGTAGCTCAGGACTACATTTCAGATTTGATTTCACTGTCATTTATTTACACAGCCATGCACGGCTAAGAGCGCCAAATGGGACTGCACGTGTGTCCACTGACTTCCCACACAGCCAGAGCCACGTCTTGTCACATGCATTTGTCCTGCTGGTTTTCTGAATGCGGTGACAGTTGCTCTAAGTTCACTTGTAATCTTCAATTTAAAAACAGTAGTAATAGAAGCATAGCTGAACCTCCTGCATAGTTACCAGGTACCAGGTGTTAACTATTTTTTGCTAAGAACCTTACACACATTGGCTGATTTGTAGCCATATGGTGATATGGAGTTTACAGATGACAAAAGTCAGAGGTCACCCAGGCAGGAGGTGAAGCTGGGGTTCATCCCAGGCAGTGCAACTGCTGCCTGGGGTGCCACTCACCTGTCAGTGCCGTTTCCTTACAATAGCGTCACGTCCTTCTTGCTAAAGCAAAGCTGGGTCTTGAGCTCATTAAGAACTTGGGCTAAACCCTCAGTGCATGCCCTGCAGCGTGGAGGGTGTGATCCCAGCTGGGATGCAGGCATCGAGGAGACTGCGCAGCTCACGTAGTGTCAGCCTGGGAGCTGGCACCTTCCCCTAGTGCAGAGGGCAGAGAGACCTTCGCTGCCCGAGTCTGAGAGGCTGAGTCTACAGGCCCAGGCTGGGGAAGGATGCGCGGGATGGAAGAGTTGACGTGGGGTATGAAATGAGGCGAGGATCAGGGCGGCTTATGTAATCCTGGAGAGGAGTCACCCTGGCCTTTGTCAGGCAGACAGATGGGGCTGATCAGGGTTTCCTCCAGGCCTGTGCTGACTGCAGGCTGGGGGGCACTGAACAGGAAGCTGTCTACTTCTCCATCACCGCCCCCACGGCTGGGCTCCCTGTGCTCTGTCCCTTGATCACCGTGAGACACTCAGAGTTTGGCTATGTGTTGTAGTGCCATTTTGCTCCATGTCTTAGCTGTCTGTTCCTGCAGCTTTAGATTTGGGGAAGAGCAACCATTATAAGGGGTTCAGTTTGTTGTCCCTTCTTATTCAGGAAACTTGGGCCCCCTGATTTCTGTCTGTCCAAATGTGATGCTGCTTTCCTGTCTCTTGGTAGCAGTCCCCTTCCTGGTCCCTTTGCCAGAATTCTCAGGACTTCAAAAATTTTTTACAGATTTATTTATTTGAAAGCCAGAGTTACACAGAGAGAGAAGCAGAGGCAGAGAGAGAGGTCTTTCATCTGCTGGTTCACTCCCCAATTGGCTGCAAGGGCCGGAGGTGAGCCAATCCGAAGCCAGGACCCAGGAGCTTCTTCCAGGTCTCCCACACGGTGCAGGGGCCCAAGGACTTGGGCCATCTTCTACTGCTTTCCCAGGCCATAGCAGAGAGCGGGATCAGAAGAGGAGCAGCTGAGTCTCAAACCGGCGCCCATTTGGGAAGCTGGCACTGCAGGTGGCGGCTTCACCTGCTCCGCCACAGCGCGGGCCCCAGGACCCAAAATGAAAGCCAACCCCCTGCCCTTTGTCATCTCTCCATCTTCAGACATCCTGCACATGGTCGTCCTCTCTCTGTCCACCCAGACTTTCCTCATGGGTGTCCATCTGCCCCAGTGCCTCTGCCGTGCCCTGAAAGATGAGCTGGGTGGTTTGGATGGGCTGATACGGAGAAGATTCCTTCTGGGAGAAGGCATCCATCTGACCATGTGAGGAGTGAACAGTGACTCACAGGCAGGGTAGCACAGGCGGCCAGGTCCCCGCAGGCATGCAAACCCGGCTGAAGTGACAGTGAGCGCCTGCTATTCCTGGGGTCTGCTGGTGGCCTCCACAGCCTCTCCCTAGCACACGGGCTCTTCTGGGGCGTTAATGTCTTCCTGTGAGTTCAGTGGATAACGTAATCTCTGGCCAGACTGCCACCGCGGGGTGTGCAGTTCGCAAAAGGGATCTGTGATGGTCTGTGGAGGAGGCTGCACATCTGCGAGACCACCGAGGTGCAATTCATTCTCGCAGAGCTCCTCGCCTGGGGGGTGTGGGCTGGCCGTCACGCTCGTGTGACGGCAGCCCCCTGCGGGAGGTTTCCAGAGGGGACAGTGGACGAGGGGGGTTTGCTTTGAATGTGGCCGTGCCAGTGGCCTCGCACACTGAGGCAGGAAGCCCGTGGCTCACTCTTGCTTTTGTTTTGCTTGTCTGCAGCCTGCACAGACAAGGAGTTGAGGAACCTCGCCTCCCGCCTCAAAGACTGGTTTGGAGCTCTTCACGAGGACGCGAACAGGGTCATCAAGCCCACCAGCTCTGACACAGCCCAAGGCAGTAAGTCCATTTTACTGCTGCCAGCGAATTTCATTCTAAACATCGCTTTTTCTCACCTGTTAGACATTACTAAGCAGTAGCATTTGGGGGTTGAAAAGAAACACCCATGAAATATATACATTGTCTTAAAAGGGGTCTCAGTTTCAGAAAAGTTGAACTATAGAGGAGGGAAGAAAGAGTGGAGAATGAAGAAAAAATACTACTGATATTTGAAAAACTCTGCCAATCTGTCATGGTCAGGGAAGACATTTTGGAAATGACATTAACTAATAGAAATATTTTAAATGTATGAGCCCCCCATTTTAACAACTGTGTGTGTGTGTGTGTGGCGACAAAGTGTAGGTCGTACTTTGCAGACTGTATCACGGAAGAGCTGTGTTGGCCATCTTTCCATGCTGGTGTGTGCTTGTGCTTCGTGGGGGCTCTGGAGAAGCCTGCTTCATGGACAGAGCTATTGCTGGCGTGCAGCTAATGTGAGCGATGCTGTGACCAGACCTCTGAGGGGCCTTTGTGTACATCAGTCACCCTGAACTGTGCCTTTGAAAATCTGGGCCAGTTACCTGCTTCCCCCAGCCAGCCTTGCATCAGCTGGACCGAAAAGTCCCACAGGGGCCTTACTTTTGCACATTGATTCAAGCTTCTGGGTGCTTCTAACTCGGAGATGGCCAAGGGTAGGCCTCTGCACACTGTGGCCGATCCCAGCAGAGCATACATTACCGAACGGTTCACATACGGGTGTTTTGCCACCAACAGTTCTGTGCAAAAACATAGTGTTATTGCTTAACAGAGTATTTTCACCCCACGTTTGGCCGAGTGCCTTAAAGACGTGCTTGTGGATTGAGCGCAGGAGGTAAGAAGTGACATAGATAACTCCGGGGATCCAGAGTTGGACCTGTGCCTGGTCTGTGGCCAGAAGAGAAACAAAGTCCTTGATCTGCGGTTGCTCTCCTGACACTGCAGCCAGCGGCGGCGAATGTCGATCGAGAGGGCACTCGCGTTAAGTGTCTGGTTCCAGTGCTGCCCTCGATTCTCGGTGGCCCGAGAGCCATTCTTGGAGGCTGAGTCCATGGGGAGGGAGAAGACGGTTTCATTCCATTCCTGCCAGAGGTTCCCTGGGAGTCTGTGGGCAGGTAATTCCAGATGGTAACGAGAAAGTCGTCCCCCGTGCAGTGGGAGCAGCCGGCTCCTGGGCTTTGTGAACACGGCAGAGCAGACTGACGTGAGCGAGGACGCTGTTCCCACAAGGCTCAGGGCCCTCGAGAATCCTCCTGCAGAGCGAGACCTGCCCTTGGCCAGAGCAGATCGAGAGCCTTGAGGGACTGCTAGGTAGGCAGCAGAGCCTGGTTAGCGCAGGGGTCCCCCCAGACCAGTGAGCACCATCGTTGCCAGCCTGGGAGTTCTGAAGGGCAGTGTGCTGGTCCAGCGAGGGGGGCTGTCCTCCCCTCTGGCCCTCAGGCAGCTACAGACACCAGAAGCAGCTGCCCTTTTACTAGAATTTTTCCAATGGGTATAAGGTGGCCTTGACCTTTTGACTGCTGCCCTATCAGCTTGGCGCTTCTTTGTAGTGATCAGTGGGCAGTGAACTTTCCTGTGCATGAAATGCCTAAAATGCCGATATCCTGCACCATAGATGTGTCTCATCAGTGTGTCACGTTCTGTACCAAGATGGAGAGCGGTGTAGCGTTTGAGTCGAGCAGCCCCTGAGACCACCAGTACAGAGCCTTGTTGACAATCCTGACGTTTGATCGGAGCAGGGGCCACGTCATGTCCCAAAGTCTGTTTTCTGGAAAAAGAGACTGTTTCCAGATCTATGTTCGGAGGTAAATGGAGAGATTGTACATTTGAACAGGCGCACTTGGCAGTGCCTAGGGAGCTACTCCTGTGGTCCAGCAGGCAGTCACCAGGGCCTAGGAGAGCCAGGACGAGGGGGTGCCGAGCCGACTTCACGGCTTCTGGGCAGGGAAGACCTTTCTAGAATGATGCTTTGCCGTACCTAACCTCCTGCTGTCCAGACAGGTTCCTGGGGATGCACGTATGAACTCAGTGAGCCTATGGGGGGGAGCACCAAAGTATACAAAGCGACCCTCCACAACCTTCACTGGGTCACCCCCTTGCACTGATCATCCCCAGACGTGGCACCCTAAGCCAACTGCACTTCCTGAGGGCAGGAAGATGAACTAAGAAAGTAGCCCTGGGAGAGTGGGCTGCGTAGGCTTGAGTCCCAGGTCCGCAGCTGTGTGACCTTGACCAACTGCAGCCTGGAGCCTTCTGTGTTCCTCTCTGAAGTGGAGGGGACCTAAGTCCACCCTACAGGAGTCTTAGAAGGGTTCGGTGGGATAGTTGAGCAGGAAGTGCTTAGGCGAGTGCTTTCTGTGTTCCAGGCAAACAAAACCAGCCCTAGAGGTCCAGTTCACAGCAGAGCCTAGGGCTGGGCTGTGCCTTGGACTCCAACAGGAAGATGCGGTTCCTCTGCAGTGTTCAACAGCCCAACTGTTGAGCTGAGTGCTTTTGTTCAAGTGCACACAGTTTCCATGTGGAAACAAATAATTCTGTAAGAAAACTACTTCCCTTCCCCCGGGGAAATAAGAAAGAAATTATTGTCTGAGTTGATTTGGATTCCGTCTCGTGTGTGTCTATAGAGGATTGCAGCAAAGAACAGGGAACAGAGGCAGGTTCCTGGCTTGCTTTGCTGTAATGTTCCGACTGCCTGGACTGAACAGTCCTCTGGGATGTACCATCAGCGCTTCTGGATTATGCTACCTAGTTTCATTTCCCTGTTATCTTTTTGCAATATTTTCCTTTGTTTCAGGTTTTTAATATTGTTTCCTAAGTAGAAAAGCATAGTTTGCAGTATTTTAAGTTCTACCTCTCACTCGCAAGCTTTGTACTCAGCCTCTCAGGCGTACCCTGTTTTAAGTATGTCCAGGAGATGAAAACCGTAGTTACATGAAGGATGCATCTACATCAGGGCTTTGTTCTCTTTAGAACGTGTTTTTTCTCAATGCCGGCTTCTGTTTTAGTGCATTTTAATGTTTTCAGTTAACAACCAAATCACAACAGTAAGATTCCCAGGAGCACCACTGAGCCTGTCCTGGGAGAGTCTCAGCGAGGGGTGGGCGCTTGCCTCTGCTTGGAGTGGGGAGGTCGGGCCTAGTGGCAGCTGAGCTATGTCTTCCCCCGCACAGGGTTCGACACCAGCATCCTGCCCATCTGCAAGGACTCCTTGGGCTGGATGTTCAACAAACTGGACATGAACTACGACCTCCTGCTGGACCACTCCGAGATCAATGCCATCTACCTGGACAAGTACGAGCCCTGTATCAAGCCTCTCTTCAACTCTTGTGATTCCTTCAAGGATGGCAAGCTCTCCAACAACGAGTGGTGCTACTGCTTCCAGAAGCCTGGAGGTGAGGCAGGGCGAGGGCCACACGGAGAGTAAGGAATGCCTCGCGTTTAGTGGTAGGTCCATACACCCATCCCTAATTCCTTTCTGCTTTTAACATGGCATATTAGAAAACGCAAGAGAATCATCAGCAGTCTGTTACTTCAATCTGCTCCTCACGTGGGAAACCCCCTTCGAACCATAGCACTTCTCCATTTGTCATCTAGAAAGTGGGTCTGGAAACTCTGACTACAGTAACTCCCAAGGTGGGAATGACCGGCCTATGGGCTGTATTTAAGGTGATAATGTCCCATGGCCCCCATGTGATGTCATAAATACCTGTTGGTTCTTGGCCAGAAAAAACAACTGTCAACTTCTCTAGGGTATGTATGGATTTATTTATTTCTTAATAGTTTGTGGGGTATAATGTAACATCTCACCACATGTATCAGCTTGTACCAATCAAAGCAGAGTAATGGGAAGTTCCATTATGTTTGACACCTTCAAGCTCTGTGCAAGACGGGAACCTATTCTCTGTGTTCTGGTAGCTGTGGTCCCCTCCTCTCAAGCCTCTAGCCACCACCATTCCAAGTCAGATCAACCCTGTAGCTGCCATATAAATCTGGATTTACACTGCCCATAGTCAGTAAAGAAGCCCCAGCTAACCATGTAAGAATATATGGAAGGACTTCCTGTGGGGCCCTGGGGTCTGGATTCACTTCTCTGGGTCCCGGCTTCCTGGTGAGTGTGGCTTGCATCTATTCTCATCACAAATTCCAAAAACATCGGGTCTCAAAGGCAACATCCTAGAGGTGTGGCTGGAAGACCCCACCCCCGGGAAAGGAGGGTGGCTACCATAAGTACTCAGATTCTGTGTAGAGACTGATAGATGACACACTCTGTTTAAGAGAAATGTGCGTGTGCATACTTACAGGTTTGTAAGATCCAGGCGAGAAACAGAACTGCTGGTCAAAGGAATATGAGCAATATTTCCAATTTTCCCTCTCACTCTCTCCTCCGCTATGCCAATACCGCTCTGCCAAACCAGGGGGCAGGAAGTTGTATCTCCCAGGGGGTATGTTTCATTTCTCCTATTGGTCCCAAGTTCAGTTTCTTTGCTTACGTTTGAGACATGCTTGAATTTTCTTTTCCTTGAAATGTCTGTATTCCTTGTACTCTTTTTCTCCTCCACGTTTGACAGTTTCTAGGGAGAAATATTAAATAGTCAAATTTCTCCATCTTTTATTTTATGGCCTTTTCAGAAGCAATAACTCTTAGATTAACCTTTGGAAATTTTACGTTTGATGAATGCATTCTTGGACTTACATCTGGAATCACGCTAGATGGTGTCTATGCAGTCATGTGTGGGCTCAGCCCTACCCCCACGTCTAACGATGGTTAATCACTTGTCCCCCAGTAATCACTGACTTCCTGTCTCTCTCCTTCCACTTGAAATGTTGCTTCAACTCTACATCCAGAGGAAGTACCTTTCTATACATGCGTGTCTGTGTATATGTGCACGTACACAGTATCAATACGTACTTGGTTGTGTGTTCTGTTACTCTATGCATACGATTATTCTAAGCTGCTTAGATTATACTCGTGTTGCAGTATATCTTCCTGTCTGGAAGGGTCATCTTCTGCCTTTTCCCCAGAACTTTCTTTGCTTCTGAAATTCAGAATCAGTGTAGCTAGTTTTTAAAAGGTTTCTATTGGTATCTTTTCAGAACTTGACAAATCTGGATTCATCTGTTGAGAATTCATAGCTGGCCACCACTGGAGGCTTCTGTTTTAGACTAAGGCCTGTCGTTGGTCGTTGGGCTTCTCTCTCACAGACACTGTACTTCCCCGCGTCGACTGCTGTAGCTGCTGTAAAGGAAATTGATTTTCCCCCAAGATGTTCCCTCACTGGTTTGTTCAGTGTGGAATCTGTTCCAGGCCACCTTCCTGGAATCTCACTGGGTTTAACTTACCCTGTGTGCTTGGATTTTTCAGGGGTGCAGTTCTCCCCTTTTCTAATTACATTAGCGACTCTCTACAAATCGATGTTAAACAATGGCCACTTTAGTAGACTTGGAGTGACTCGGCTCGAGTTTGTGTGAAATTGCCCGGTTCCTTTCAGCTCAAAGCCCGAGCGGGAACACAGCACTGGGAGTGCAGGGCGCGCTGTGACCAGCACGCAGAGCCGGGTCCCGGAATTCTCTGCAGCCACTGGGGAAGCCAGGGCCCTGTCCTGTTCTGTCTCTCACCACCCCGCTCACTGACCAGGACAAATCATGAGTGTTCTACTTTGCTTTCTTGTACTATGTTGTTCTTTCAGTTAAAATTTGAAAAGCAGGGTGCAGGAGCCGGGAGGAAGGCCGGCACCGGGCACACCCACATCCCATAGTGGGGTGTCTGGGTCTGAGTCCCAGCTCTGGATTCTGCCTTCCCTGCCACCCACATGAAATTCCCAGACCGGGTTCTGGGCTCATGGCTTTGGCCAAAGTGAACCAGTAGATGGAGAATTTGTCTTTCCCATGAAGGTGAAGAAGCCATGGTGGGTATTTCCTAGTTTTATTGTGTGTACATTTTCCTCGAGAGCACTGCTGTTGGAGAGCTGGTGTTTTCATTATGGCCAAGACACAGATCTTGTCCAGCCAGCGTTCTGAGGGTCTCTGTGGCCAGGAACAAGGGAAGAGAGCACTGTGGAGCTTCCCACGTGGTAGGATCATTGGTTAACTGGCTGATGTTTTTCTGCTGCGTGACTGCTCAGCTTGAATTCCAGAATCTGTCTCAGATTTCCTGCGTTGTCATTCAGTGCTGGGAAATGCTTTTGTTTTTTTCCAAGCGCAAAGGAAAGAGAAGGTTAAGCTTCCTGTGGTCAAAGGGATTCTTGTTTCTCGTCCCCAGTGGCCAGTAAGGGTCTTCATGTTGCTCTGTCTGTATCACTTTTTTCCTGAACTACGTTACGTTTGTGTTGAAGTTTTTCAGGAGACTTTTCAAAGTCATACTTAGGAAAAGCAGTATTTGGTCCCGTTGACAACACGCATTTCACGTAAGCTCCATCGCTTCGGATAGGACCTTCATTTCTTTGATTATTCCATTTTGTCTGCTTTATCGCTGAGCCTCTGTATCTGTGCAGTGGACTCCATTCTCACAGTTAATTAGGGCTGGGGTCGCTGACCCCTAAGAGGTCAGTATTTTCTTCTGCTTCGCAGCAGATGTTCTGTTAGGAATTCATCCCGAGCTCTGTCTTGCAGAATTTCTGAGCTGATTTCAGTCATTATTTTTCCATATCTTTCTGTAAGCAGAGTTTTAAAAATTGCTGTAGGACAATTTGCGGGAAGGATCTTAAAATTAGAAGCTGGCTTCATAATAATTGTCTGCTTCAGTGTTTATATGCGTGATGTTGATTTTTCTTGTCTTTCGGAGCAGACAGTCTTGCAAATGCCTATAGTTTCTTCCCTCTGCATAGTCACAAAGATGAGAATTTCCATTGGTAAAACAGGGATGATACTGGGACCTACCTTACAGGGTTGCTGTGAAGGTTAAGAGGACTCCAGCGTTCTGTTTTCCAGTTCTCTCATGGGACAAGAACAGGTGGCCCTGTGAAACCCACGGGGTGACAGCTGCAAATAGGTGCTTAGGGGCCATAGAACAAGGCAGTGTAAGCCAGCAGTGAGAGTCCCAGCAGCGGTGTGGATCCAGGAGGGACACGAGCGAGCAGCGCAGTTCCTGTGGAGAACAAGGACGGGGAATGGATGCCTCGCTTCTGCTCCAGGGTGCCGCGTGCTCACGTGGTCTCTGCGTGGCCCACCCCCACCCCCGGAACCGACGGGCCCACTGTGCTTCACAGCGTGTGAATTTTGCACCTGGAGATTCAGAAGCTGAGAGGGGTAGTCGGCGAGGAGGTGGTAGAGCTGAGCTTTGCAGCGTCGCTCTTACCTGCCGCACTCAGCACCTCTCCAGCATCCCCGGGGGTGCTGGCCTGGGGCCGTGCCCCGTTCTGATGCTCTTGATCTTCTGCACCAAGGCCTGGGCTGCGGGTCTTTGTCAGCTCTGGTTAGTTGGTGGGTGGATTCTGAACACTCATCCAACAAAATGCCTTAGCTCTGCTTTTCAGCTCATCAAAGCATTACCAATCCCTTCCTATGTAAAAGAAAAGATCTGTTAGCAAGTCACCAGCTAGACACCTGGTATTTGCTTGAGTTGGTAGGAAGAAATTTTCCTGTACAATGCAAGTAGCCCCCCAAATAGTTTCAGTACCTCATGGTAGCATCTGTTTTTTTTTTTTTAATTAGTTACACTAATGGCCTGATATCTGTGTTGTTGCATAGTAACAACATATGGAGCTGTTCTACTCCCAGGTGTGTCATTGTCTACATTTCACGTCAAGAGTGAAGTCAATCATTAGAGATTATATCCCGTACCATCTGGAAACTGACTTTCATAAATTATCTTTTAGGTCTCCCTTGCCAGAATGAGATGAACAGAATTCAGAAGCTGAGCAAGGGGAAAAGCCTGTTGGGTAAGTACAATTCCTTGCCACTCATTTAAACAACTAATTAAACCATCCACGTCTCTTGTAAAGTTCAGCGTGGCAATGCTTATTCAATTAGGGCTGGTGTTTTGTAAAAGAAACGCCCCGTGTTAGCCCAGACCGAGCTCCCGCAGACAGCTGGCGGCACATCTCGGACAGCTGGACAGGATGGTGGCTCCCACAGGCTGCAGCTAGAGGGCAGCTCAACAGGGCCCAAACGCAGCCCCATTCTCACTGCCAGCTCCGCCTTGATCTCAGGCTACCAGAAAACAAACCTGTATCCCCACCACCTCCGGTTTTCAGGGAAGGCCTTTGAATAAGGCTGTCAGGTGTTTTTCCAGCGGTGGAAGCGTGAGGCCTATGGATCAGAGCGTTCCCACTGTTACCCAGGTCAGGTTGTTCTCTCAGGGAGGAACGTGGCCTGACCGCTCAGCAGCACTGTGCCAGGGAGGGTGAGGGAGGTGCAGATGCGCAGACCCGTGTCTGTTCTCGTCCACGCCTGCAGAAAACACACTGCCCTTTACTCCTCTGCATCGTGAAGGTGGGAGTGAGTGGTGTGTTTGCCGTACAGGTGAACCCAAGGCCCAGGTGAAAGTAGCGAATGCCAGGTCTCTGAGCCACCCCATCACCCAGACATTGTGTGCTCAAGAAAGGACTCTGCTTAGCTTTCCTTGCTTTTGAAAAAGAGCTGACAGCTGTAACACAATAATTCAGAATTATTCTTGTTAAGCATACAGAAGCAGGTGCATTCCCTAAGCAGCCTGGCGTTTCAGAAGTTTCTCTATTTACTTAAGGGAAATGGGCAAGGTAGGCAGCGTGAATTCTGGAATTTATTCTCTCTAACTTCTGGGGGGCACTTCTAAATGCATGTGCTCTCGTCCTTCTCCTTTTACTTTCTGATAAACTCTATTCAATGCCAAGCGAACTCTTCTGTACAGAAAGACCAGAGGTCATTTTTGTGGCCTGGAAGCAGGGGGTCTGGATCCTTCCTCCATGTCAGGTGCTAGGGTTTGAGTGATGTGGCTCAGACCCACAGGTAGTTACAGAACTGCTATGTTGCTATTTTTAAAAATGCTTTTCATTGGATGGGGGCATCGTTGCTTAATTACCAGTTACCTGAGCCGTTTAGAAGGTGTGTCCTTGGACATGACATGCCTCATTTTCCAGTCACCCCTGCACACAGGAGTGAAATGCTTCCTAAGTCCCACCACGAATCCTGCTGCTTTCCATGACTGCTTTTATCTCATCTCCCACACAGGGAGAGTACTCTGGCTCGCTCATAAAACTGCCATTTATTTGCTTGTTTTTCTTTTTTGCATCCAGAAATCTAATATAACTGTAGATTCAGGAGGTATTCATATTCAAGTAAGTAAATAAATAAACAAAACAAGCACCATGAAATTATAATCAGTGGTGATGACCGCCCACTTACAAGATGTGGTCACCCTGTTACACTGTAGATTGAGAGCAGCACCTGCTTCATGCCAACTCAGGGCGCAGCCTCATTATTGGATATATTGTTGGTGTATTCAGTGCTATTGTTTTCCAACTTGGGCTCAAGGAGGGGCTCAGTATTTCCTCAGATCCCTTTTTGTTCTCGTTTTTTGCAGTCCTTGGATAATGGCCTGTTCACAAACCTCCCGGCCTTAAGGCTGTTGAAAGTATCTACTTTTTCTTTTCCTTCTGCTCCCTGAAAACCAGGTAGAATGCACACTGGCTTTAGTGCTCAAATCAGGGGTGGCCCAGCCTTCCCTAAGTGATAGAACAGGCATTCCATGGTCCCTAGGGGGACCTTCCTACACATCATCTCATTTGGGCTCTGAGAACCCAGTCATTTTGGAAAAACCCAGTGAGCAGGGTATTGAAGTGCAGATCCTGTAGTCGAGGACCTGTGCATAAATCCTTGCTCAAAATATTCCCCCTAAACCTCTCAGACTCCTTTCTGGAATCATTCCATGAAAAATGAAAATTATGGAGTAGAAACCCAGGATGGTAAGCAGGAGTCTGTTCTCATGAGGTTGCTGTAAGCAATGCTGTTACACAGGTCAAACTAGGGGATTCGAGCAGAGCACGCAATCATGAAATACATGAGAGAAAACCAAAACTCAAATACAAATGACCCGTATTTGAATGAAAAGCAGACTGATGTTTGACATTAGACTTCTTATGGACAGAACACAGAAAGAAAATATCCTCAAAGTGCTGATGGGAAGTAACTACGGGTCTGAAATTCTGGATGTGTCCCCATGATCACGCATGTGTGCTGAGGGAGACATCGCACACTGACTAGACTCACACTAAAGGAGCTGTTGTACCAGTGATCCCAGAAGAGTTCATGCGATACAACTGTGAAGAAGAAATGAGAGGCTTCCAGATCTATGCAGGACCTATAAGAAGGGTTTGAGAGCAAGCTAAAATTAAAGTCCTAGACCGTTGGGGGTAATGAGAAAAAGATGATAAACCTGCATTAAGTTTGTTTTCCCCAGGAAGAAAATTTAGGGGGAAGTATAAGAATATTAGAAATAGAATATACTCTAAGAAAGGCATGCAGTCATGAAAACTTGGTTTCCACAGAAGGTGGGAAGTGAGGAAAAACAAGTATGCAGGTGCTTCAAAAAAAGAATTTTACAAAAACATGCAATTTTTTGTAACACTACCCTTGCATGGCAGCAGCAATCTGTAATTTCAATAAATGTAACTTGGCCAAACATTTATCACGAGATAGAAACTACTGAATAGTATTTTTGAATAATGTTAACCTAAAACAATTTCACAGAAGTTGAAATTTAGAAATGCTAAATACTCCTTTTCATAACATTTGTATCTGTCAGAAGCAAACACTTTGCTTTCTTAAAAAACTCCAAGAACAGCATCTTGCCTAAATGTTCCCTTCACCGTAGTATGTCATCAGTCAGTGTACTCAGGGCCTTAAAGCAGAACGCAGCAGCACTGCACGGAGCAGTTGTCAGATCCACAGTTGTACTCAGACGTGATACGCCTCTCCTGCAGTCCAAGGAGGTTTAAGAAGTTCAAAGAGTCACTGAACAGCACAGTTACTGAGCAGTCCCTCAGACACACATGAAATCATCTGCCATGGACAGTATCACAAAAGCAAACAACAAATCGCAGGCTGAGTTCACTGGCCACAACACCAGAATAAAAGTCATCCAAGACCCCATCCATCTCCATTTACGTAGATATTGATCCAAGGTGAAGTAAGGTAAAAACTACAAAACATTTCAAACTGAATGAAAATGAGAGCCTGGTGAACCGAAACCCACGGGAAGCAGCTACAGTGAAACCTCACGACTTTAAATGCATTTTATGAAACAATTTGCAGCTCAAACACCTGTAAGAGCACCATGAACCAAAGTGACTGCAATAAAAGCAGAAAATAAAATGACGTCAAAAGCCGGCGCCGCAGCTCACTAGGCTAATCCTCCATCTGCGGCGCCAGCACACCGGGTTCTAGTCCTGGTCGGGGCGCCGGATTCTGTCCCGGTTGCCCCTCTTCCAGGGCAGCTCTCTGCTGTGGCCCGGGAGTGCACTGGAGGATGGCCCAAGTGCTTGGGCCCTGCACCCCATGGGAGACCAGGAGAAGCACCTGGCCCCTGCCATTGGATCAGTGCGGTGCGACGGCTGCGGCGGCCATTGGAGGGTGAACCAGCGGCAAAGGACAACCTTTCTCTCTGTCTCTCTCTCTCACTGTCCACTCTGCCTGTCAAAAAAAAAAAAAAAAAGACGTCAAAAACAACACCAGCCATGGCACATGATAAACGTGTGACAGTGTGGGCAAGGGAAAAGGCCCAGATACAACTGGCTGTAAACTGGGCACCACTCTCTCAGGGTCCCATCCAGTGCTCTGAGATATGTCCAAAATGTGCATCTGTCAGGGCTTCCAGGTGATACTGCTGGTCGCAGGAGAAACTGCTCTACACACCCATGAAACTGATGGGATCAGCTGCCCCACTTTGGCCACAAGGGAACAGATGATACAACTGGATCAAAGCCATGTAGTGAATCAAAATACAGATATTACACTCACACCTTCTGCCCCACCCCAAGCATGGGCACTAGGCTCAAACTGTTTTTATGGGCAAGTTCTTCAGGCAAGGGTTGGCTCTCATTTTATGCCCTGAGGATAGAAAACGGGAAATACCTGAACGTTTTATGAATACTTACTAAGTATTTATGAATACTAACTGCAATAGGAAACTAAGAACACGCAAACAACATTCTATGCCTCTGTCACACTGTCACACCTGCAGAAGGACATGCAGACGACCAGGTAGTGTTTTCTCCACGAAAGCAAAGCTAAGAGTTTACTTGTGTTCGGCCACTGATGATGCGTTTCACTGGAACCATTTAAGGATAAAAACCACATGATTTTCTCACATTACAAAGGTAACTAGTAGTAGCAATATCTATTCAAGATGGAAAAACAACTCAATAAAGAAGATATAAAAGCAACCCTAAGCTTCGGTAAGTTGCTTAACTCCAATTTATCACTGGTTTTTGGTTTGTAAACAGGTGGCAGTGGCACTGTCACTTAGCAATGACACCGGGTGACATACAGCAAGTGCAGGCCTTGGCTGCTGTCACCTCCTGGTTAGAGGCAGGATGGCAGTGCCAGTGAGTGGTTGGAGAGTGCTGTCCCTGGACCCGCTGTAGTTCACAAAACACTCGCTCCTGCTCAGCGCTCAGTACCGAAACGGATGCATTCACAAACTCTGATAGCAATTTCACAGTCATTTCATGGGGCACAGCGAAGTGTTGGCCCGTGCGAGACTCCAAGTTCCACAAAGCCTGCGTCTTCATCCCTAGAGACTGCATATGCTCCATTTCCTATACCCCAGCTTGCTATTGATTAGAAGGTAACCCTGCCATGTACCTCTTATTCTCGTGGGGATCAGGAATTGCATGAACGTGGGTACACACATACATGGGACCAGCGCCTGTGGTACACAGACACACACAACACATGTTAGTTTCTGTGTGAAAACTGACCTCTTTGGAATTTTGGGGCCATTAAGAGCTGAGAACTCTATAATCCCCAACTAGCCCCTTCTGCCAGTCTTGCAACTGCCATCCTGTCTGGGGAGACCATACCCGAGTATCTGTGCTTGTCTGAGCAGAGTCGGATCCTTTGTTCCCCCAGGGGCATTCATTCCTCGGTGTAATGAGGAAGGCTACTACAAGGCCACGCAGTGCCACGGCAGCACCGGCCAGTGTTGGTGTGTGGACAAGTATGGCAATGAGCTGGCTGGCTCCAGGAAGCAGGGCGCTGTGAGCTGTGGTGAGTAAGCCACCCCACCCCCACCCCGTGATGCCAGGGGACCCGTGGGTTCTCACCACCCGGGGAGCTCCACACAAGACTCCTGGGCCCTACTGCGTTCCCAGGGTGGACAGCGGCACCGGAAATCACATGACCCATGGTAGGAACTCATCGAAACGAGCGGGTCCAACAAGAGTTTCTGATGGTCAGGATTAGATTTAGGATCCGAACCCCCACCCCCACCCCCACCTCCACCCCCACAAGGTAGAACGATCTCAAGAACACACAGGGTTCCTAGCTGCCTGGAGCCAGACCCCAGCTGGGCAGAGGTTCTCCAAGCTCCCTCAAACAACTGCACGCTTCACCTTCCCGTCCCTGCACCAGGGAGCCTTGCCCTGCGTGGGAGGGATGAGCAGAAACTCACCTCCCGTCTTTGCCTCCCGTCCAGAAGAGGAGCAGGAGACCTCGGGGGATTTTGGCAGCGGCGGCTCCGTGGTCCTGCTGGACGACCTGGAGGACGAACGGGAGCTGGGGCCCCAGGACACAGAGGGGAAGCTGAGGGTGCACAGCCGGGCCGTGGCTGAGGACGACGAGGACGAGGACGACGACAAAGAGGACGAGATCGGGTCCCTGTGGTAGGGCTCGCAGGGAGGGGACATGGGGTCAGCACACAATTACAAGTCACTTCCTATTCCTGCGTCTCTCTCTAAAGACTCCAAGGCACCAAGGCCTCTTCTCTGTCGCTCTCTGTGCCTGGCCTGAGGTTTGCAAGTCAACCACTCGCTCCCAGAGCACTCTGATTGCGCATGCGGTTGTGGGGGAGAAAGGGTGCTGTGGTCGTTTTGTTCCTGAACAGGGGATGGCCTCCTTTCTTCCCGTGAGACTTTGCACCAAGCATGTGATTTGTGTGGGATTCTGACAGTGCAGGGAGCTCCCGCCCTATTCAACGCCCAAGACCCTTGTGGATCACCCACGCCGGTGGTAATGACAGCATGGTTCCCAGCCTTACTGTGTCGGAGTGCTTTGTGTGTGTCCTGTAGCTGTCGTGGAAAACACACCACACTGTCCCTACCCCCACCGCCCTGGGTGTTGACTATTGCACATTCGTTTTTCACATCACTAGATCTGGCTTCCTACAAACTACAGCCTTAATTCCGTCAAGAGTCCCCTTGGGAAATCATTTTCTTGAGTAAAAACTGGTCTCCGGGTGTTCCTCACTGCACATGCAGAAAATGAAGCATGTACCCAACATGCTGTGTGCCCTGTACACACGCTCAGAAGGCGTGTGGGGTTATCTGTGAACACCTCATTTGAAAAACAATTAAAAATTGTCAGCTTCTCTAGACCTGGAACACAGTTTCTGGAATAAGAAGTTTGCATCAAAGCCTTTTTTTTTGCACTCACAGCTGGCACTTGTCGCCTGCAGGCTGGGGAGGTTGCTTTGCTTTGCATCAGCCGAGTTCCTGGAAGCCTCTTTGATTTGGATAAGCCTGCGTCTGCGTGCATGGCGTTGTGCGCACAAGCCGTGCGACTCCCACTTGGGCGGCTTCACAAGCCACCTCTTTCATTTCAGCTCAAAGCCCCCTCGGGCTGCAGCAGTCCTGTCTGCCACAGGTTCCTGCCTTCCCCTACCTACTCAAGGGCTTTGCCTAAGGTATGCACACATCCCCTGCTCTCCGAGAGAACAGTGCCATGCTGTTCTTAGCGAAGCAGGATTCTGAAGGTGTTGCCCTCTTTGTAGCCACCAATCACACGAGGCTACAATGCTGTTCAGACACCCTGGCTGCGCATCAAGACCTAGAAATGCCTTCCTCAAAGCACATGGACGCTAGGGTTCTCCGAGCTGGTTCTGGCCCACTTCCCACAAGGGTCAAGATCCTAAGGAAGGAAGCCCTTCACCCTTGGGTTTCTTTCGCGTAAAGTCATTATTGAAGTGTAGTTTCAAGTCAGTACAGCTACCGTCTTTGCAGTCTTTAGGATCCCTCTCCCTCAAGCTGGCCCCAAGACTCCTTCCTGCCCCACTTGGTTTCCCACCAACCCCCAATGCCCACTCGACTAGCCTCGCCAAGCCCTCTCGCCTTCCCCAGGAGCTTCATCCAGTCTATAAGACAATGACATAAACTCAGGCAAAAAAAATTATATATATTCAGCCAAACTATGATTCCAGTGGCAGCTGGCTTACTGACTACCGTAAGCTGACCAGTTGTACGTGCCAGTCCTTGCATTGGCTGGACCAAGTGGCATTACCCCTGGAGTTGGTCTTGGATGGGAAATAAACATATGTGATGCAGCTAACCCCTCTGGCCTGGTGGATGTGAGTACAGCCAAGATCTTGAAGTTCTTTTCATACTTTCCCCAAGGGTAGACCACAAGCAAGCTCTGTACTGGGGTCTCAACTCCATCTCTGTTTCAATTCCTTTTCTCCCTTGAACAAAATTCTGAGATCATAAAAGTAGGAAACAGGTGCTTAATTACAGCTAAATTGCAATCGAGTCTATAAAAACAAAAAACCCAAGGCATATGAAGAAATTTCAGTTTAGATCATCAGAGAAAACCATTGTTACTATCTCCTCTGAGCTCAGACAAATCCAGCAGAACAAGTTAAAACCAACCAATCCATTTTCCTTAGAGAAACTTCTAGGAATGGAGTGAACTGCTGATTTTAATTTGCCTAATTATCTTGTGACAAGTGTCAAATTAAGATGACACTCAGAGATCCTTAACATTAACCTAATGATGGAGAAGAGTGCTCAACGGGCAGTTTCCACTGAGGTAATGAGATGCCATTTTCAGAGATATTCCAAGATTTTATTTTGATTCATTAAAATATTGAATTAAAAGCCCTCCTCAGACTAGAACCCAACATCAATGGAACAACAGTCTCACTTTGGCTTGACAGCATTAGGTTAGGTAAAGATCCTGATTCAGTACTTTAATTCCACAGAATGCAGTTTCCATTTATCTCTAGAGGTAGAATGTTTATTGTCCTTTTCTGGGGAGGGGCTCTTTAGTTTTAGTGACTGACTACATATACAATATTGATTTTTTAAAAATAATATTGTGATAATTGATTCCCTCGTATGAGACAGTTACTGAGTTGAAACAGAACTTAGTTTTGGGAACTCCTTAGTGACTAGTCTTACTCTACAAATGGCTCGTTTATTTAGTAATATTTCCTTGGCATCCAATTTAAATCTCAGAAATTTCCACCACAGTTTGTTGTCTGACATGTTCATTTTTTTGTGTTTTTAAAAGTCGTTCAGGCGTGGGGATACCTAGATATTGACTTTGATTTTTTTTAAATCCGTTTCTGCTCCTTCATGCCCATCCCCCAACCTGCAGCAGCAGATGACGCTGTGCCTGTCCAGGTCTGCCCCTCTGCTCCTCCCAGGAGGCCCTGCATATTTGATTTTGGTTTTAACTTTGACCACACTGTACAGCAACATCCAAGAGCCCCTTCTGCAGTGGGTGGTTTTGGTCTTTTTATACCTTTTTCTCAAAGACACTGATGTTTGTCCCTGTTCAATGTGTAGCATTGTAATAAGAGCCCATCAAATCCAGAGTGTCCATTTGTTGTCCCTCTTGTAGATGAAATATTGACGTAGGAAAACTAGTGAATTCTGAATGCTTTTCCATGTAGACTTATCTGGAATGTGAACACAACTCTTTGGTTACGAGTAAATGCTTAACTGTAGTCCTGAGTAGGTGCATTTCTGTCTGTCTCAATAAATTTTACTTTGTCTGCAACATGTGTGTTTTTATTTCATTGACTTGGATGTGACCTCGCCATGGCCTACACACAATCATGAGAGAACAGTGCGGGCCTACAAAGGGAACTGTCACAGAGACCCTCGGCTCAAGCTGCTTTGTGGGGGGAGATGCACCCGCCTGGTGGTCCAGCCAGTGGTGGGCTCAGGCGCTGAGCTGGGCAGATGCATGCTGCATGCCTGGTCACTAGCACATACCACCTGCCCCCTCTCTGGCTGTCGCTGCCTCTCCCGCACAACTGTCGTCATCACCTGCCGGTTCTCACGACTGTCAGTCTCCAACTTTGCCAGCAATGCTGACTCCTTCCCTCCCCAGCAATTCTGCCGTTCTCCTAAAAACCACCAAAAGAAAACCCCAAAACCTCTCTTCACAGACCCCCCCCGAGTTCTCCTTCCTTCATGAATTAACACACGAGGTACTTGTCAAACATTAGTAAGCACACAAATTAGAACAGGAATCCTGGCCTCCCACCTTCATCCCCACTCCGGCTACTGTATCTGTGAATTAATTATACCCTGAGTGAGTAATTTTGCCGGAAGCTGAGGTTGACACTACCTTATGAATAATTCCATTCCTTTCCCCCGTGGACTCGATTTTACAGACAGTTTACAGATTGACAGTTCAAGAAAAGGTGCTTCACAAATCCACCCAGTAAGCAATGCCAGCAGAGCAATGGCCGCTGTGAAGCCGGCTGCTGGTGGAGGGCGCAGTTGGGAGCTGCTGGCGCCCCTGCACGCCCCAGACTCCTCTCAGGCTTCTCCCACACTCACAGGCCTGGACCAGATGAAGAGGGCAGGAGGCCTGGGCTCCACCGTTGCTTAGGCGGCTGGGTAAAAAGGCCACGGTACCGTCTCAGAATTCCTAGCCCTAAGATTTTCTTTGACATCCTCATTGAAGCCAAGAGGGAGTTTTCAAAATGCATCCAGTCAACAAACCTTTCTGGATTAACTGGGAGACTTCTAGAACAACAGAGGTACAGATTAATCTCTGTTGGCTGGATGACCGCCACTGGAGCCAGGCAACCTCTTCAGTGCTAGGAATAGAAAATGAGTAATTGTTGCCTGCTCCGTGAAGTTACCTCCTTGAAAACAGACACACAGACAGCCGTCACAACACAGGATGATGGATGCCGCGAGTCACGCCAAAGGACGCTCAAGCCCATTAAAGCTCGCCTCGCTGGGTTCCTTTCATCCATCACCCCCTGGTTTCCCTCTTGCCTCCCTGACCACTCCTTGTAGGTCTTCTGTATGTTCCCTTGTTCAGCCACTTCTGTTGATACTGGTTTGCTGAGATCTATGTCCCTGTGTCTACTTCTTGAGGTTTTGTGTTTTCTCTGTACAGGTTTAGCTATGCCTATAGCTTCAAACCTCTCCTCCACCCTGAATAGCCTTCTGAATCGATTTTTATTTCTGCTCCATTTGAAAGCAGTCACCATTTAGAGAATTCTACTTGAATTTCCTACCAGCACCTCAATTACAAATGTTAAAAAATCAAAATGATGGAATGAAATAGACAGCAAGTGTCCCTATGACTGTAAGAGTCCAGAATGGCTGTTCTTAAGTCCTGACAGACATGAGTCATAGAGGAAAAACTTGATATATTTGTCTCCATAAAAATAACATAATAACTAAAAGATAAACAAGAGGCTAAAGAAGATACTTGTGATGTAAAATAGATGAAAGGTTCGTGTGCAATTTATCTTTCTAAAAAGCCAGAAGGAAAATGGACTGGAAGACAAAAAGAATTAAAACACAAGCAATTCACAGAAGACACACAAATGGCAGTGAGATCTCCCCATGATCAGAGAAAGACAAATTAGAGCAATGCTGCCTTAGCCCCATTCAGGAAACACAAACCCTTGATAACGCTGAGCGTTGAAGAGACTGCGAGGTAGGGAGCACACTTGCGTACCCCAATCAGAACAGCCATATGAGGCAGGTGAGCAACAGCTAACCAAGTCAGAGTGCACTCCTGGGTTGAAGAACTCCACTTCTCGGTCACCACCACGAGAGAGAAAAAATGACACGAACTTAGACATATGTACAAGCATGTCCATCACAGCACTGTTTGTTAGAGAACAGATGTGGGAGAAAATATCAGAGAATGTTGGGTAAACCTTAGAGAACAGATGTGGGAGAAAATATCAGAGAATGTTGGGTAAACCTCTATACTCTGGCAAACTGAGCATCAGTCCAAATGAATAGCATAACTTTATACGTGCTTACTTAGAAAAGCCCGGAAACTATTAGCTGGATACCTAATAAGCAATACTCTTCCATTTTCTCAGGGTAGAAGTGGAAATGAACAGAGCAGGACATGCCTTCTAAGTTCCACTTTTGTTTTGCTTTGACTGAAAATGGCTCCTCCTACAGCCCTGGACTTGGGGCATGACAGCACCACGTACACCTCCCACCTGCACACTCCCAACATGCTCCAACTCACCAAGAACTGTCACTTCCTCCAAACATCTCTTGCTCTCCATCCCATCCTCACCATCGCCTCTCTGCACTGTCTTCAGAATTTCTTCACTCATGGCTCTTCTTCACCCATCCTACAAACCACTGCGACCAGAGGAATTTATTCCCAAGGTATCTGATGTCAGTGCCCCACTACGTTTCAAGGTTCCCTATCACATTCTGGGCCAAATCTAAACTACAGTATTTCCCTTCATCTCTAAGGAGGACTCAGCTCAAGACCCCAGGTGGATGCCCAAATCTGTGTTTTTCCTGTACATGCATACTTATGGTAACATTTACAAATTAGGCACAGTAAGTGATTAACAACTAATAGAAAAACAGAACACTTAATATACTGGAGAAAATAAAAAGGTACATGAATGTGGTCTTTCAATACCCAACAGGTCTGCCCTTACCCATATTTCTGTGATGATATGAGGTGACAGCAATGCTTACGTAATTACATGAAGTGAGATGAATGATGTAATCACTAGGAAGCAGCATTAACTACCACTGACCTGACAATGGCTATCTCCGGGAGGAGAATCCTGTTTCACATGATCCGGAATCATCCGCCCGTGACGATGGGGGCAGCTGGGTGTCACACACAACGATGACGGTTGTGGAGCCTCAGACGTTAACGGTTTTGGCAGAAAGCTTTTGGAAGAATGATGTGACTGGAACAGCTTGTCTCTCTTTAACTCAGCTAAGTGTTGCTGCAAACGTTGTAATCCTACAGTGATCACAGAGTTGACTTTTCATGCTATATCCCATACAAGGATCATATTCCATAATCTTCCCTTAACAGCTGTACAGTCTGAAACATCTACACTGCTGCTTCTGTTTCCGTTTCTTCTTCTTCCTCTTCCTCTGCATCTGACTCAACAGGTCCTTCCAATTCCCCACTGGGTAACACTTCTGGATGGCCTTCAACATGTTCTTCCACCCGTCGGGCTTGCTCTGTGAGTTAATTTCCTAACTTCAGAAAGCCATTGAAGCTCTTCATGACTTCACTCCGCAAGTGCTTCCTGCAGGCACTTGCAGGTCCTGGTATTCATTAATCAGTTGCAGCTCTGACGAATGTTACTACATCAGCAACCCATTTCCAGTACGACAGTTATGTTCAGATTGGGGTCTGCATCAATTCCTGGTTGAATGAAGTCAAATGCCAGGTGAGATTATGTGGTCTTAGCCATCAGAATAATGCTCTGGTTAAGGGATGAAACAATGAGGCTGTATTGCTGCCTATCTACAACTCTTCCCAATTACACCGCCAGATGTAGTTTTTGCCTTTTTTTTTGTATTTTTTTTTTTTTTGACAGGCAGAGTGGACAGTGAGAGAGAGACAGAGAGAAAGGTCTTCCTTTGCCGTTGGTTTACCTTTCAATGGCCGCCACGGCCGGCGCACCGCGCTGATCTGATGGCAGGAGCCAGGTACTTATTCTGGTCTCCCATGGGGTGCAGGGCCCAAGCACTTGGGCCATCCTCCACTGTACTCCCTGGCCACAGCAGAGAGCTGGCCTGGAAGAGAAGCAACCGGGACAGAATCCGTTGCCCCAACCGGGACTAGAACCCAGTGTGCTGGCGCCGCAAGGCGGAGGATTAGCCTAGTGAGCCGCGGCGCCGGCTCTTTGCTTTGTTTTTAATAGTACCTGGGCTCATCACTTTGTTCACCACAGCTGGGTTTATCAGACACCGCAGCACTGTCACTTGGTACCAAAGTTAATCTCCCTTCCAGGATTTCTTAGGCTTTTGTATTTTTATGAATATAGGTTCCATTGGCATTTTCTTCCAGAAAAGTTTGGCTTCATCACAATTAAAGACTCGTTTTGCACGGTATTCTCTCAGCCTCATCCGCTTCTTCAACTCTGCCGGAAATGGCGCAGCAGCTTCTTCTCTGGCAGAGCGCCTCCGCAGTAATTTTTGTATTTTTCAGTCCAAATCTATTATTGAACCTGTGTACTATCTCGTACATGCTTATGACTTGTTGTTGAAAACTTCATATAGACAACGTTTTCTGGCATGAAGCATGTTTTCTGTTCCTGTCTTCCACCCAAAATCTAATGCCTTTTCCAAATTAGCTAAACACTTATGTGCTGAGCTGCAACTGTTACAGCTCGAGGCCCAACAGCAAAGCAACAGGGACTTCTTTGTCTTTTCTAATCTCACAGATAATTCACTCTTACCGTAGACCACAGCAAACCTGCGATGCAACATGTTTTCCTTCCATGTTAAGCCAAAAATTTTCACCTCTGCACTTAGAAAATGAAGCATTTTGCAGCTTCTTTTTGATGCTTCCAAATTCCCAGCATCAGTCATCTTGCACTTCAGGGCCGTTACTAGTATAGTGAGGGTTACCTGGACACAAACACTATGACACCATGGCAGTCAGTCGATCTGATAACCAAGTGACCAAAGTTGGGCACCATCAGCAAAGGGATGGTTCCCAGGTGGGCCACAGTGGGAGAGTGTGGAATTTCATACTATTCAGAATGGTGTACAATTTACAATTTACAAATTGTT